GAACAAAGTGTTCCTCTTTAAAAGAAAAAAAATATCACCGCTCTGCCAGTGAGAGTGGTTAAGCTCAAGAGTATCAAATGGAATGCAAATGAGAAGCGTCTTGAAGGGGGCGTGACATGACATGACACCAGAGAGCATTTGACTGGTTTTGATTTGATCATTGATAGGTTGACGTGAATAAAACCATTAATCCATTTAGGTGATAAACTACAAGCTTTACATGTTGATATCAATTTTATATCTTCTAAACAACATTTTTGACAGTGTTTTGGAGCACACTAGTTTAAAAACAAACAATACCAATGCTAACAAATAAAAATCCTTATTTTAATTTAATGGGACCTTGAAAGTCTTTGTGAATTTAAAATATACAATGTTTTTTTTTTTTTTTTTTTTTTTTTTGCTAGCGCCCATTGTTATTCTTTAGGTGAACATTTAATCCAAGCAAGACCACTGTTTCCATGTTTGGAGTGATGGTCCTCTGTTGATATCAGTTTGATGACTTTAGCCACATTGTTATTAACCACACCCCTCGTAGTGTTAGTTTGCTGAGGCAATGATGCATAAAAAAGACCCCCCCCCCCATCTTAAACGCTAGCATGTCATTACCATATTATGATGGTATTCAGCAATACCTAGTGTAGCAAGGTCACACAGTGTTATCGTAAGTGATTTTTTTCATCCAATCATATAATTCTCGGGTGTAAATAAAGGAGGATTTGGGGTGTTATTAGCCCCTTTCACACATACAGACCTTTCCGGAAAATTACCGGCAATTTTCCGGAAAGGTTGTATGTGTGAACAGGTCCTTTTTGAAAATACCGGTAAATTCGTTCTGGCTATTTTCCGGAAAGAGAAGTTGTAACATTACCGGCAATTTGCCGGAATGCTGCGCTGTGTGAATGCAGAAGGAAGATTCCCGTAATAAGCGCGTGCACGTCTAGAACGTGCTGACGTGAGACGTCTGCTTTAGCCAATCACAACAGTCAGACGCATTTACGTCCGCGCGGTTTGTGAGGATAAAAGCCTTTGAATATTTTTCCAGACACATTTAGCTGCTAGAAGTTAGTCAGATCACGTTTATATGTTCTTCTTAATGCCAACTGTGTAAATAATCATCGATGAGAAATACATCGCAGCCGTTTAAAGCTCATTTGTGGTGAATGATGTCAGAATTTACCGGTATTTTGGAATGGATGTGTGAATGCTCTTTTCCGGAAAATTTCCGTAACGTCCTCGCCTGTGTGAACAGCGCTTTTTTGAATATACCGGTAAAGTCGTTCCGGAAATTTTCCAGATATTTACCGGTATCACTGTGTGAAAGGGGCTATTGTGTGTGTGGATTGAAGTCCCGCTGGTTCCGCCTCTGCCCCTTCCGTTTCCACATATAGGCATTGTTTGGCTTCCTCTTCCGCATTGGGGTATGCATGACAGCAAGAACGGTGGCAGAGGGAACATATTGAAGTGGTGACATCTGTAACTGCACTTAACTGGCTGTATTTGATTTTCTGACGTCAGGGGATAAGATAGGTCATCGCTTGTTATTTCCACTGTCATCCCAGCAGGATCGTTCTTTACTCCTAGGGCATATTAAAGTTCTAATGCGTCTGTGAGTGCATGTTGACAAAGTGGCACATTAGGTATATCTGAATTTTTGTTATATGGCACTTTTTAAAAATTGTTTAACCCAACTGTATATACTGTCAAATGTTGTGGGAGTGAGCTTAAATGCATATTTATAACATCTTTAAATGTTTAGTTATATTTTACATTTTTTTCTGATATCATTTATGAAATGTGACATATACAGACGCTATCAGTGCATACGTTTTTTCTCATCAATCCAATTCTCAGACATTTGACTACGCTCACAACTTATTCTATAGAACAAACAAAAGCTAAACACAATAAAGGAGTTGACCTTTGAAAAACACACATAATACTCACTGGGATAATTTTAACAGACTTTCAAAACACTATTATACACAATCAAATGTAACTCATTGCGCTTAATGGCATAAAGTTACATTTATATTTGGTGTGTTTTTTTACAGACGTTCTGAGAGCAGAATAAAACTAAAGAGTCATCACCTGTCAGCACTGCGCAAAAGGACTTTTTGTTATGTCTCTGTCTCTCCATCTCTCTCTCCTAACAGATGGGCCGTTAGTGAGCCTGTTTCCACAGTTTTCCAGCATGTGAGAGAGAATGCCGTGCCAAACCCCTGCTGGCATCATCTCACTGGCCAAACTCCCTCTCTCTCTCCCACACACACACACACACTCATGCGCTCTCCGCAGATCTATCATTCTCTTTTTTTCACTTGTTTGCTCTCCCTGTCACTCATGATACCTGCGGCAGGTATTATGTCATAATTATTACATCCACACTTCAAAGGCACCACAGCACAAAGAACAAAAGTGATGAAAAGAAGAAACATACAGTGAGATCGAACACAGCTCAAGCAATCACACACACATTTTCAAACCTTTGCCAAACCTAATGGAAATGTCACTCATTTCTTATTTACACTGAAGCTGAGAGCTCTACTTCCCAGCTTGAATGAATATTTCTCTCTGTTTAAGATGAAATTGTTGCAGCGCCATGGAAAACAAACTAAATAAATAAATATTTACGAATTCTTGGAAAAAAAGTCTACACAACTTGAGAAATAAAAGTCTTGTCAAGAAATCACTTGAGTTAATCTGTTCTTTATGCAGTTTTATGTCTCTGCTTGTACTCTTTATGGTTGCTTATATTCTATCACACACTTCACTACAAAAAGGATTAACTTATGGTGAGACGTGTGTGTTTTTTTTTAAATATTGAGATACTGTCAGATGATGATTTGCTTTTATATGCATTTGTTTTACAACTATTGAAAATGTGCTTTTTTTCATGTGTTATATTTATTTTCTTATTTGATTTATACTACACTAGAGTGATTGTCAGTATTGGTAAGAAAGTCAACATTAGGAAGGTAATGCATCAACAGCAGGAGAGGTTTGTTTGGAAAAGTTCCTAGTAATTACCAAATTTAATTACTGTACTAAGTAAACAGTATTTACGGTTGGCTACATGTGAAACATGACTGTAAAATAAAGTACTACTAATATTTTATATACAGTACATTATGAGGATTTGACATGCATACAATGAAAATCTTCCATTGGGTTTCTACTTCATATTTAATTAAGATACATTATTTATGTTATTTTAACCCATACATGTCTTGAAACCCAAGGTACCCTTTAAATTAAGCCATTGCCTGCCTTTTATTAGGATATTGGCTATTTGTTACTTAAACCGTGTTGGGAAAAGTTATTTTGAAAGTAATGCATTACAATAATGAGTTACTCCCCAAAAAAGTAACTCTGGAAAATAATGCATTATGCTACTTTTGAGTAACTTTTGAGTAACTTTTAAGTTATTTTTTCTTACCTGCCTGAGACTTGATCTCTTTCAGAACTTTGTTTTTTTTTTTTTTTTAATAGAGGAGCTCTGCATTTAACAACACGCTGTATAAACTACTACTTTATGTACCTTTAACATTTTTAATAAAAAAAATGTATGTTAGCATCTAACTTCCTGACGCTATTATTGCCATACCAATTAATGCAATTTGAAAGCAACGTGTTTGTGAGGATCTATAAGGAAATTTAAGGATCTGTGAGGGGATCTGTAAGATCTGTAAGGTTTTTTCCAGTTCCTGCGGAGAGCTCATTTTCTCATTGAGTGTGATTCAACATGATTACACTAATTTTCATTTAGCAAATAATTAAAAAAAAAACATATGAATTAATCTAAAAAGTAACTCAAATATTATTTCTTTTTTTTTTTTTAGGTAATACGTTATTTTACCTGTTACTTAGAAAAGTGTATACATATATATATATATATATATATATATATATATATATATATATATATATATATATATATATATATATACATATATACACATTGTATATATAACTTGTGTAGAGCTTGCATGTTTTTCCCATTTTCACGTGCGTTTCTGCCAGGTGCTCCGGTTTCTCCCACAGTCCAAAGACATGTGGTATAGGTCAATTGAATATACTAAATAGGCTGTGGTGTATGTGTGAGAATAAGAGAGTGTATGGGTGTTTTTCAGTGTTTGGTTGTGGCTGGAGGGGCACAAACTGCCTAAGACATATGCCGGATGAGTTGATGATTCATTCCGCTGTGGCGACTCCTAAATAATAAAGGAACTAAGCCGAAAAGAAAATTAATAAATGAAAAAAAAAAATATTATAATAATAATAATAATAATAATAATAATAATAATAATAAAAATAAAAAAAAAAAAAAATATATATATATATATATATATATATATATATATATATATATATATATATATATATATATATATATATATATAAAGTTTGTAAATAATGTGACATTTGGATAGGAGAAATGGAGCAATTCAATGTGAAAATTGACTTATAAATGTTATTTTTGAACTACTGTAACTATAAGGCAGTAATTGAAGAATTATATATTTTTAAACTATTAAATATTTAATTATCATTTTATAATATAGCAATTATATAGCAAACAAATACTGATGGCAGGTAAAATTGTTAATCATGTTTGGTTTTATGGTCTCAAAAATCAATGTATAATTAAATTAAGAAAAGAAATGTTTTCATTTTGAACGTACATATAATATATTTTCTTTCCTCGTGTACCAGCTATCGTACCACAGAACACACAAATCTAGCAAATGTGTTTAGCCAATATTTAATATATGCAGTATGAATTTTAAAACTTAAACCTTGCACTCTTGCTATTCAGAAATCAATAATAATAATAATAATAAAACAATTTTATTACAAAATATATAGTAAACCAGGTATTTTCAATTACATCCTGATAGTTAATTGCATTGGTTTTCCTCACATATGCTTTTCTCTGTCCTCTCTGTAGAGTTGGAGGGCAGAGCGCAGTGCTCTTACGCGTCCACTGCTTTGGTGTCAGTGCGGTTCTCGTGCGCTCAGGAGTTAGACAGAGACGCAGCAGCGCACGACAAACAGCCGACTTCACTTCCGAAGACCAGCGCGTTCTTCAATTAGTGGCTCGAGTGCTAATGAGGCTTTTAACGCAGCATCCAAACTTGTTAATGAAATAGTGGCGTTTCGTGACACACGTTTTGCGCAACTTGCTTCCCTCATCTGGCGCCAGATCTGCTGGGGAATAAAAGATGCTTCTCGACGTGCTCTGTTCCTATGAAATGATTTGGATTGCACCTCGCATTTTTGGAGGAAATCAGCACTGAACGCAGTACGACGTTTTCTGGACAACTTTGGTGCCAGTGGACACGGGCATTCGCGAAAGTCTTTTACTGCCGCGAGATTGTTTGGCTCTAAACAGGATGGACCTCGTCGGGCTCTACTTGTTCCAGCTGGCAATTTTTGGTGAGTTTTCCTCCGATTAATTCTGCTGATTTGGGGGGAACGGAGGATGAGCTCAGTTGCAGCTGTTGCGGATGTGAAGCGAATGATGAATCCCTTTGCCTGCAGACGCACGAAGCATCTTCGCTGTGCCGCTGCGTTTAACTTCACTTTGTTTCTTTGGCGATTGCAGTGTTGTAAGAAGTTATTCTACCAGTGTTGAAACTGTTGGGACGTTAATGTCTCTTCTGGTTTGATGGTCAGTGCGCGCGTAACTGTCATTATCATGTGTGGCACACCAAATGAGACGGATATCGGACGACCTGCTAATCTGATCGTGTTTGTGTGTTAAAATGACCTTTCGCTTGCTTTTAATGCGCTTGTTCACGGCACATTAGCTCCGTCATTAAAGCAGCAGTCTGACAACCTGTCCGTCAAGCTGCGCGCGTCATCGTGGCATCTCGGTCCGCAGGTAAAGCGCAGGACGCATCCATCCTGCTGCAGCTATATGCAAATGTCTTTAAAGAATGATGAAGAGCCAGCAGCATGAGACTGTGGAGTCATGAGCTCTTGTCAGAAGCATTTGTGAAGGATACCTCCTAACTAGACTCCATGCCGCTGGCTCCTGTCGCCCTGTCGCTTCATTTGTGTATTCCTTTGAGACTTAGTTTTGTCAAACAGTCTCAGGAGAGGCACTTGTGCAATGGGCAACAGGCTGAAACCAGGGAGGCTTCCTTGGCATGCAGGAAAGGATGTGGGGGAAAGATGCTCAGATTTATGATGACAGTCCTGTTTTACCCCTCTTGGATAGTATGATACTTAATAGCATTGCTGAAGCAAAACTGCTGGAGTCATGCTTCATTTAATGCTTTCACGTTTTAAATTCCCCACATTGTCGCATTTAGGAGAAATAGGATGTTTTTAAATCTATGAAAATACACAAGAGCAATGCAGAGCTATGATTCTCAATATCGTAATTAGATAATTTTACTTGATTTTGAGTTGATTGCATCTACCCTAAAAAAAAGATATCTTCGATAATTATAATGATGCAGATTGTTTACCTAAAGCAGAACCCTTTGTCATTGTCTATCCATTTTGTTACAGCACAGATATATCATGTTTCAGTGGAACACATAAGCAGTTATTATCAGAATGTCAAGGCTTTCTTTTACATTAAACAAAGATGCATTAACGTTATCAGTCACGTTCAGCAGCAATTTAGCTTGGTTTAAAAATGAAAAGGCTCAAATATTTAGTCAATGTTTAAACCTGGGTTACCTTGAGCAGTATATAAAAACCGTATCACCAGTTAAAAAATGTGTTACACTTACATAATGAACTACATAAGCAGATTTAAGGTGTTATCTAGCTGCTTAGGGAGCCCAGTGAACGACTGAAATTGGTCTAGATATGGTGTAAAAAATAAAAAGGTGTTTGATGGCATTTATTTATTTATTCATTTATTTTATTTTATTTTTTATTTTTTGTCAAGAAAGCAGACCACAGCAGATTCATAATAGAAAGTGGGACACCTTGTTGAGATTACATAATGGCTGGGTTTGTATACCTAATCAAATGATTGTGTTTTATTTTTAAAATAAGTTAAAGTAAAGAATAAGTCAAGTCCTGGGGAATGAATGCTGATCTTTCAGTTCTACTTTATTCATTTCTGTGGTGAATGGTAAGTGCAGTAGAGTCAATCTGACCTGTCAATCCAGTCCAAGTGCACTTTCACTGTAAAACAGTTCCTGGTTGACCTTTACTTATTCCTTCTGTACCCACAGTACCTGAGATACAATTTCTACTAATGTTTTGAAATGACATTAAAAAATCCATCATCATCATCATCGTCTTGACACAATCGGATCCCTGATGTCTGACTTTAACTTTGACAATGCTGTATGTAATGCCATTTTTTGAGAATTATATCAAGATCTGTACATTAGGTCATATTTTATCGTGTTTTAGCTTATTTGAGTTGTTGACATCTGCTCCAAATATATATAAGATTTCACAATAGTTTACTAATATTTGCAGAAGCGTGTGTACTTCCGTTTTACGTTTTTTTTTTAATTTTTTTTATTGGCATTGTTTGGTCTCAACCTGAAACAATTAGTTTCATCTGCCCAAAAATGACCAAAATAATCATCTGAGCAAGCAACTTATTATAGTTTTATAAACAAATTTCAGGAAGAGCAGGCTCAGATGTTTTAACAACTCTTACTCAGCATTGACAATCATTGTTAACACTTTATTTTGATGGTCCATTTGAGTATTAGTAGACTGGCTGCTTAATATCTGTTGATACAGCTCCTTCAACAGACATTTAACTGAATATAAAAACTTTGCAAGTACATGTCAACTTTCACTAAACCTAACGCCAACTCTAACCCTAACCTAACAGTCTACTTCAAAATAAAGTGTGACCCAGTGATTCTAGTATCCAATCAGCATCAGACCAAACCCACATAAATACCAAACTTGTACTACCTTCATTATCTCACAACTTTAGCATCCCTCCACTACTCTGACACCTCACCTCTTAAACACTCTACCTAGCGGGAGCGTTCTGAAGTGCTAGACACTTTACTTGGACCCCAACGTCTCTCACTTTCCTAACAAAGGGAATAACACGAGTCGGGGTGTCTTTTCCGAGCCCAAAGCCCTCTCCCTGGACAGCACACCAAATATGCTTTATTCTTCGAACATATGTAAGTGTGAGCTTGTGAATTTACATTTTTTAAATCAAGTGCCTTAATGTAGTGTAAAAATAATAACAGTTTTGTGTTGTATTGTGTGGTTATGAATTTATGTCTGGTTAGCATTACCAGAATGAAGGTTTCCACATGAAAAGATGCTATAGTAATTTTACATAAACAAGTAACATTAACAAATAACCCAATACTGTAGATTTTTACAACTATTGTGTAGGGTATATAACACTACCATAAACCAGAGTTTACTGTAGTAAAAGCTACACTACAGTATTTATTACATTTTGTAAGCGCACTCTTGTTAATACTACAGTATAGAAATGGATGTAAATATTATAATATACATAGAATAATATACAAGTGTTTGTGTTGGTCAAAAGCAATATAGTATTTAATTATAAATAAAAATATATTTTTTCATCTGGGTTTGTTTTAAAACAATGTGTGGACATGTTTGGACGGCCCCTTACACTCAATTTTGTTTCTTTTTTAATATTTTCCAATTTACCAAATGCTTATAGGAACACAATTTACATTCATGTCAAAGCATACATCTTATGAGTATGTGTGTTCAAGGATCAACCCTAGTAGTGTTCTGATATATGGTGCAATGCTCTATAAAATAAGGTACAGCAAACAAATTTCAATTGTTATGTAGATCAGAGGGCCCAGGCTCATTCTGATTACGTACCCCTATTTACATTTCCGGAGAGCGCCAAATACATCCCAGGAGTTACTTTTTTTTTTTTTTTGCAGTTTTTGTTTTCACGAATACACCACAGGTCACTCAAATTTCTCTCGTGAGTGCCATTCTTGCCTGCTCTTGTCACGTGATTCCACATGACTGACTGAAAGACTCACTGACCATCCAATCCCCCCAGGGGTACTTACGATAAGTTTAAGACTGATTGGACAGGATTAGAAACAGAAATAAAACCAGAACAGACATTCAATCCAGGGCTATTTTGGCAGATACTTGAAAATGAGAGCATATACCGTCAGTGTAACACATATATTTGCTCGCTCTCTCTCTTTTTTTAACACACGCATTTTTACAAGCAGAAGACAAAAGACATATAGCCAACAGCTAGACAGCCAGAGGCTCATGTAATGTGGTATTTGAGTGACACTTTTGGACTGATTTTTGCACACGTTTGTCATGGTTGGGAGTTTCTATTGAATTTCCATCGACTAATTGATCATCTAACCTGAAAATAACCCCTTTTTGCATTTTAAAATGTTCATTATTAAGCAGTATTTCTTCCCTGCTCCCAAAAAATGTAGGTGATTTCAGGTTTTATTATCTATCTGGGGACATTTTATTCTTAGCAAGTCAGCGTGTGTTCATTTCACCTCTTTTAGAAATGCAATGCACTGCTAACAGCAAATATTTTGGGTCAAAGCATGCTCTCCTACAGAGGAGAATGTGAGCGATGATTGGTTTGTGTCCTTCTGTGTCGCACTTCACTTTGACAACCATCAAAGTGCCGGCCCAAAGAGAAACTTTCATGGGCTTTGTCAACTGTTTTATTGCACCTCATATTCAACTTTTCTTACAAAACAAATCTTCTATTTTCTATGTGGGAATACAAAACTATAAGTTACGAACGAATAAAGATGAATAGGAATGATCAGCTCACAATTTCATGTGGCATTACCTAGTGTTCAGTCAAGTTTAAAGGCTTAAAGTTTAAATCCGAATTACTCTTTCTCAAAGTGTTAATGCCAGTGATCGTTGCGTAATTTCCAACGATTAACAATAGTGTGATATTCACGCATGCAAGGCAAATGAATTCCACCTTTTCTTGACTAATGCTCATTTAGCCCTTTAAGCTCTTAGAGGATTGAATAAATTTGTTAGCCGCACATTTAGTAACCTTGAATTGTGGCAGATTACATTATGCACTGCTGTTCATTGCACCACGCTGGGATATGAATTTATTCCGGCACGGCTTTTCACCAGCATTAATGTGAATGGCCCCTCCTCTCCCCCATTGGCCTGTCCAGGTTCTCTGTCTTCACCCTGCTAATTGTCTTCCATGTTCACTTCTTAGTCTATTCGTGTGGCATGATTTTTTGGGGGAATTCTTAATTAGCTGTCCCCAAGAGTGAATATTGAGTGGGATTGTCTTGATTCAGTCATAGAGATGTACAGTTGAAGTCAAAATTATTAGCCCTCACACATTTTTAAGCATAATAATTTTAATAACTAATTTCTATTAACTAATTTCTTTTGTTATCACATTATGACAGTACCTAATATACTAGTAGTAAAAATAATATTCAGCTTAAAGTGTAATTTAAAGA